AGCAGAAGGGTGGCAAGAAGGGGCCAGACTGTAGTCACATTTCAAAGCCAGAGCCCACACATTTCCTGATGGGCTGGATGTGGATTGTAAGACAAAGAGAGGTTAAGGATAGCTCCAAGTAAAGTTTTAGGCCAGAGTAACTGGACGGATGGACTTGACATCACATGAGATGCGAAAGAATTTGAGAGCAGCTTTCGTCAGGGGTCAATTTTTTTTTTGAGTTGGAGTCTCACTGTGTTGCCCAGGCTGGAGTGCAGCGGCACACTCACAGCCACCCCAGCGTCGACCTGCTAGGTTCCGGCAATCCTTCCGCCTCAGCCTTCCGAGTAGCCTGACCTACCCACTGGAGCACACTTCCACACCCAGCTAATTTTTTAGTTATTGCAGAGATAAGGTCTCACCAAATTGCCCGGGCTGGTCTCGAACCCACAGGCTCAGACAATCCACTCGCCTCGGCCACCCAAAGTGCTGGGATGACAAGCTGAGCCACCGAGCCTGACCTGCGGGGTCAATTTGGCATACTTTGAGTCTGAGATGTCTATCAGACATCCAGATGGAGATATCAAGTAGTCGAGTGAATGTATGCAGTTCAGTGAGGACAATTCAAGAGGTAAGTCTAGGTCAAAGATGTAAACAGGGGAATTAACCATAAGCATCACCCACAAGCATCAGGTCTCTAAAACCATGAGGCAGGGTGAGCCCAAGGGAATGAGTATGGACGGAGACCCCGCTCCCACTAGGCAGGAAGCCCCTCGGAAACGTGGACCAAGCCTACCGTTCACACCATTCTCAGCACTTGACCCAGTTCTTGGTAGATGCTGTTAGGATTTCTCACCCACAATCTCAACCCCACTGATGAAACAGCAGAAAACCACCAATTTATTAATAAGACAATTTAACAGCCAACCTGGCTCACAGTGACACATTCTGGCCACCGCTCCATTCAACCAGCACACAGAGCAGGAAGCGGCGAGGTCAGCAAGCCAAGTCGCCCGACGTCCTTCTCCCTGAAGGCAGAGGAAGAGTGATCAACACAGGAATGGCGGGAACTACGCCGGGCTCAGGATATCCCTAAATCGGAGAGGAAAGAGGGCCCCTTTCTCCTGTATTCTTCTAGTTTTCAAACACGGGAACTTCATTTTTTTGAGTCAGAGTCTCGCTCTGTCACCCAGGATGGAGTGCAGGGGCACGCTCACGGTCACTGCAGCCTCGACCTGCTGGGCTCAGGCGATCCTTCCACCTCAGCCCTCCAAGTAGCTGGAACTACAGGCACACGCCACCACACCCGGCTAAAACGTGAGAACTTCATAACCCCAGACCTAGCTTTCCAGTCTTGGACTTCCAGAAAAGTTGTTACCATAGAGATCTGAACATTGTTTTCCCTTTCTTCCTGTATCTAGTCACTATTCCTCATGGAAATTTAAATTTTCTATAGAATCCCATAGACTTAAGACCGAGAGACAACCTACCTTATTTAGTTCATTCTTCTGATTTTACTAATAAAGGAAACCAAGTCCCCCATATATTCAGTGATTCGCTCAGGCTCACAAAGCTTGCTGGAGCGAATGCTTAGAACAGTTCTTTCCAGTGCTGCTCCCACCTGGCCACATTGTATAACTACTGAATTAAAAATGCATGCATTAAACTCAAAGCAGGTTCAGAAGGGAAAAAAAAAACAACACTCAGAAAACCCTATTTTAAAATACTTTATTTAGTCTAGGCACAGTAGAGAGGAACATAAAGTGCTCAATGAAATTTTTTCTTATCGAATACCTGGGATACACTGACTTCCTGAACTTTAGTGTGTGTGTGAAACTATTTCCTATAAAAGACTATCAGGTAAGTAGAGCACTGATGATACATTTGAACTTGATACCTCAGCTGGCTTTTATAATGTATACAATGCTAGGATATAGCTGATTCAATCCAGGCAATAGGCTTGGGGAATGGGTGACTCCAGACAAGACTTAGTTGTTTAATCTCAAAGGAAACAGTTGCCTTTCAATAATAAGATTTACAGATTGAGTCATTTATTTTGGGTTCACAGGTACTATTATGAGACGACAAAGAGTGCTTTTCCCATATGAGGGTTTTTCTTAACATGACAATCATTAAAAAAAAACACCAGCCTGGTTTTAGATAGTCAATTTCAAAATTATTTTTAAAAGAAAATGATAAACAGTATTTTCAAGGGACACACGTAGGTAAAAGTCTGACTTCCAGGTTGAATTTTTACCATGTTTTCTCCATGAGCAGGTCTGCAGAACTCCATTTTAAGCTTACTAGTTACCTATTACATTGCATTAACTTAAAACCAGTAACCCTGAAAACTAATTAACTATGGTTAAAAATGTGAGAATTGCTGGGCACGGTGGCTCACAATCCCAGCGCTTTGAGAGGCGGAGGCAAGAGGACTGCCTGAGCCCACAGGTTCAAGACAGCTTGGGCGACATGGCAAGACCTCATCTCTACAATAAATTAAAAAAAAATTAGCTGGGTATGGTGGCGTGCAAGCAGAAGGATCACCACCAGAGCCCAGCAGGTTGATGCTGGGGTGGCCATGAGCACGCTAATGCCCTCCAGCCTGGGTGACTCCAACTCAAAAAAAAAAAAAAGTGAGAATTCAGAGAAAGAGAAGTCACAACTGGGAGAAAATACGTGCAAAAGACACATCCGATAAAGGACTATTATTGAAAACACACAAAACTCTTAAACATAAGAATACGAACAACCCAATTAAAAATAGGCAAAAGAAGACATGCAGATGGCAAATGAGCTTATGAAAATGAAAAGATGCTCAGTCTCATGTCATTAGGGGATTGCCCATTGAAATGAGATTCACGTTCAAATTCAAAACAGACATCAAACGCTGGCGAGGACCAGGGGCAACAGGAACTCTCCATCACTGCTGGTGAAACCGCAAAATGCTTCAGTCACTTTGAAAGACAGTTTGGCAGTTTCTTACAAAATGAAACGCTCTTACATAGAATTCAGCAGTCACGCTCGTGGGTATTTACCCAAAGGAGCCAAAAAATGAGCCCACCCAAAAACCCACTTGCAGATGTTTAGAGGGTAATTACCAAAACTTGGAAGCAACCAATTCAGCAGGGGAATGGGTAAACCGTGGTGCATCAAGACAACAGAATATTCATCAGTGCTAAAAATAAATGAGCCATCAAGCCATAAAAAGACAGAGGAATCTCGAATGCACATTACTAAGTGAAAAGCCGATCTAAGAAGGCTGTATGGTTTTATCTATATGACATTCTGGAAAAGACAAAACTATGGAGACGATAGAAAGATCAGTGGTTCCCCAGTTTTGGAGAGGGAAGGATGACTCAGCAGAAGATAGAGGAACTCCAGGGCAGTGAAACTACTCTGTACGATACTATGATGGTGGATACATGCCATCACACGTTCGCCAAAACCCACAAAATGTACAATACCAAGAGTGAACACTCATGAAAACTACAGACTTGCGGTGATAATAATAGTCAGGGTGACAAATGTCCCACAGTGATGCGGAATGTTGATATTAGAGATGCTGACAGCAAGGGCGGTTGTGTGCACAAGGAGGCAATATGGGATGTGGAATTCTCTGCACTTTCCCTCAATTTGCTATGACCCTAAAGTGGCTCTAAAAAACATAGTCCATTAAAACATTTTTTTAAAAAAATTGGGCAAAGATTGCTGTATAAGGATGCCTTTAACTAAGCGATTAGAATCGGTCTGGAGAGCCTGGAGCCACATTTATCATTACCTATCACTAAGCAAGTTACACGAGGCATGCCCGATACAAGTTATGCCACAAAATCCAGCATGATCCTCTAAACACCAGAAACGATGAAAGACACTATGAAGAATCAAAGGGAGGCCAGGGGCAGTGGCTAACACCTGTAATCCCAGCACTTTGGGAGCTTGAAGTGGGAGCATTGCTTGAGCCCAGGAGTTTGAGACCAGCCTGGGCAACATAGCGAGACCTTATCACTACAACAAAAATACAAAAATTAACCGGTTGTGGTGGCGCATACTTGTAGTCTCAGCTTCTCGGGAGGTTGAGGTGTTTTGCCTGAGCCCAGGAGGTCACTATAATGCAGTGAACTGGGATTATGTCACTGCACTCCAGTCTGGGCCACAGAGTGAGACCCCAACTGAAAAAAAAAAAAAGAATCAAAGAGAGAAATGAAAGGGCCAAATTCAGCCCTGAAGCTGTAGACTCTATCAGTGCCACAGATAATTATGAAATCTATTTTATTTTGTTGGGTTTTTTTTTTGAGTTGGAATCTCACTCTTTGTCGCCCAGGCTGGAGTACAGCGGTGTGCTCCCAGCCACCGCATCTACCTGCTGGACTCAGGCGATCTTCCGCCTCAGCCTTCCAAGTAGCTGGAACTACAGACACACACCACCACGCCTTGCTAGTTTTTGTGATTTATTGTAGAGATGAGGTCTTGCCAAGTTGCCCAGGCTGGTCTCCAACTCCTGGGCTCAGGCAATCCTGTTGCCTGGGCCTCCCAAAGTGCTGGGATGACAGGCTGAGCCACCACGTCCAACATAAAAAGAAAAAAAAAATCAAAGGGAGAAATGAAAGAGCAAATTCAGCCCTGAAACGTTGACTATATCAGTGTCATAAATAATTAGGAAAATCCCTTTGGACTTTTTTTCAAAGTTGATTACTAAGGTCTACTCTCATTTTCCCTTAATCCATTTCTTATTAATTAAGAATTCTGCTGCTATGCCAATACATTTGCTTGAAGAAAGCAATTTTACAACTTTGAAATTTTAGTGTTATATTATGTCACAAGGCTTTATTTACAAGCTTCTTCAGGTTATACTTCAGCCATCCACCCACTATTCCAAGTGTGAAGTGATATCAAATAGATTACATTTACAGGAAAGCACGTAAGAGAGAACAGAATTCTACAATTGAATATATACAGCGCCATTCGTGGTTGCTATTTTTACAGTTTTCTTGTGTAGATAATCTGACTTTTGGGGGGGGTAACATTTCACAGTGAAGTCTTCAAGAGTGAGTTTCCACAGGAAATTGAGAGTAGAACAGTCCAATATAGTTTATAGGTGTTATTTGACAATTTGTGAGGAGCTGCAGTTATTTTTTTCCAAAAGTCTTGGATGCTGAAGAATCGTGACTTTCACCACCACTGTAGTGTTCATATAAAGTCTGAAATTAAAAGCAACAAATCCGTTTGGTAATTTTTTTTAGTTCAGTGTATTATCAGATTAGTAAAGGGTACCTCGACATAGTCTAAATATAGTAAATGTATTTCTCTCTTGTTCTTGTAATTGGAAAATTATTTTATAAACTATGGGAGAGATGAAAGAATTTTTTGAAACAAGCTTGGTTTTAAGCATTGCCTATCGTGAGATGTAGCTCTATCTTTCTATAAGAGAAATATAACATGGCTATTACTAAACATACATATGAACCTTCAAGGACTCCTTGATCCCCCTTACTTTTTCTTAAATAAAGCCAGTCTTAGATAAATTCCTAAATGCAAAATATACTCATTATAAAACTCAATATTCTCAGATAATATTTAAACTAATAAACAGGAGACATTAAAAATTGTTATATATGTATGATTAGGCATATTAAAATCCATACACTTAAAAAAAATTCAAGATGCCACCAACATCTGATTTATGAAGATGACAGACATCTTTGTCCTCAAGGAGCATACAGCCTCAGTAACAAAGGCAACTCATTCACCTCACTTTTATTTCTAAAAGGCTTTGAACAAGACATTGGTATAAATTTAAAACATGAGGATATGAAATACAGGGCAATTACAAAATAAATTTTGCCCACTTTTAATTCCTAAAGCCATTGATTTAGCTATCAGCACTTGAGAAAATGTAAAAAAATTATATTTATTTGAATGAAATTTATATCATATGAATGCAAAACAACAGTGAACGTGAATGTAAATTCCTTCGAAGCTCATCCAAGTTCATGGCAACTTAGAGTGACTTTACACCTTCCCAGAGGGTTAAGAATGTTGCTAATTTAAGCTCCTACAAGTTTATAATAATGTGATAACTGAAATATAATTAGCAACTGTTGGGTAGCTAAACCAGTTGGCCATTAAGCATTTATAGGGTTTTATTAACGACTAGGTATTTGGCAACAGTGGTATCCCGAGGCCAAAAGGCAGATATAAGCAGGTAGAGGGAAGCTGGGAAGCTCGTGAGGGTGCTTTGAGAATCGTACTGATTGCCACGTTCAGCTTCACAAAAGCCATTACATGGGATATCGCTAAGGAAATTTAAGAAAAAAGTTGTGCTAATAACGGTGCTGAGTTAAAAGACTCCTATATTAAATTCATTTTGGTTGAGACCTGGCAACCATCTCTTGGATGCATCTTCTTTGGCAATCGCTTTGAACTATGCCATATGAACGCTAAAAATCGGATAAATTTGCATTTATGAAAAACCACACGCTGAGTAGCTAAATGTAGAAACGCGCTTCATAATTGATGATCTGGTGATTGGACCAACTTTTCTTTGGATTGTATCCTTAAGGTCTGCCTCACTACCTAAAGCACTTAAAGTTAATGTGGAGAGTAGACATACTTTAGCAGCCTTCAGAATGGAGTTCGGAGAATTCAGACCAACAAGTTGGCCCAGAACATACTTCATTTCTTCAGTGGTTCCTTTAGCCATTTGATGATCTGGAAGATAAACCAAAATACACTGTACTAATAGGAAAAGCCTAAGTCCAATATACATACACATTTTGTTTGACACCACAATGACCAGCATTCTTGCAACTCATCACTGATCACAACACCTCACCTAGAGCAGGGCAAGATGAATACTAACGAGCAGGTGAAAAGGGCCATTTTATTGACTTTACTATTTAGCACAATAGGAACTTCCTTAAGGAAAGAAGCAGGTTGGAAAAGAGTAGCCTACTGAGATTCTGCTTTTTGCTATAATTACGAGCTACTTACATTAGTCATCTAGTAACGACTTGTAATTTTAGAGGCAGGGTCTTGTTCTATTGCCCAGGCTTTGGAGTGCAGTGCTACAATCAGAGTTCACTGCAGCCTAGAACTCCTAAGCCCAAACATCCTCCCTCCTCAGCCTCCTGAGTAACTGGGACTACAGGTGAGCGTCATGACATTCAGTTTTCTTTTTGTTTTTTCAAGAGACAGGGTCTGGCTATGCTGCCCAGGCTGATCTTGAACCCCTGGCCTCAAGTGATCCTCCCACCTCAGCTTCCCAAATTGCTAGCACTATAGGCAAGAGTCACCATGCCAGGCCTATCAACACATTTTTCAAAGAATTAGTACCTCGATGAGTTTGAATTTGGACATAGGGATGCGCCAAGAGCTCAGGAATGGATATCCTCTGCTTAGGGTTCCTTATTAAACAACGCTGTAAAAATAAAGATCAATTTTTTTAGAAAGCAAAGACAGTTTTCATATACGATAATGATAAAGCATTTTTCTAGATTGCATATTGTAAAGGTGACTTTCCAGATACCTCACTCAAATAATGACAAGACTATTTCCCAAGTCATTTCTGCAAAACCCCCAAGTTCTCGCAAACTTTAAAAAAAAACACACCTCGAAAAGCGAATGTACTCAGCAATCCCTTTTACTAGACCAGTTATGTTTAAGCCACTTCCATAATCTCACTCATTTCTGCTCTTTCTTTTAAGTAAAGAAATACTTGCATATTACCTTTAACACATCTTGCAGATCCTTCTCTGGGATATCAGGAAATTCAACTTCATGATTAGGGTCGATTATGGCATGCAACTTAGAAATCTGATTAACTATATGCTGAAATGGTGTTTTTCCATAGGTCATATAGTACAAAATGCATCCTAAGGACCAAACATCGCTTTGGGGGCTGATCTAAGGGAGAAAAACAAAACAAACAAAAAGCAAGTTGCTACCATTTTAATAGAAAATGTTAAATGTAAAAACATTAAGTATATGTAAATATATGTATGTATGTACATATATAGACTGTGGCAGGAAGAGGGCTGGTAACAGTTAAAGGTATTTCCTTTTGAAAGTCAAGCGGCAAGGGCAAGCTTTAAAGACTGGCCAGGTCGGTTTTATTTAAAAAGAAGCCAAATGGCCAGAGACTGATGGCTCTCATGGAAATGCAAAAGAAAGAATATCTAATTCACAACTGCTCTCCTTATCAGTTTACAACCCCTGCTCACCTTGCATTTTCTGGAGACCATCTATTCTTTGAAAGATCTGAATTTTTCTGAACACAACCTTGTAAATTCCAAAGAAAATGTGTAATCTCTCAACACGACCCCCTCCCTTACCTAAACAAAGGTATAAGACCCCTCTTTTCCCGTTCTGGGGGGCTCGACCTGGAAGCGTTAGCCCGTCGAGCCCGCCAGTGTAATAAAGTTGCCACTTCCTAGAATAGTCTCAGTGTCACGACCTCTCTATCTTCCCGTTACATTAACACCATCATCTTTAAAATCATAATTAAATCTCAATGAATGCGAGCACTAGGCTATGTCTGTATGACAAAACATGTTTTTCTAGTGTTCATTACATTTAGTTATTTCATCAAAACATATGAGCTTCACTTTAACTCTCTGCATAAGCTCATAATTAAAATACTTCAACTGAGATAAAATATTACATTCTTATCAACTTATCAAGATACAAAACCAAAAAACATAACTACAAATTAAAAAAATTTTTTTTTTTTTTTGAGTTGGAGTCTCACTCTGTCACCCAGACTGGAGTGCAGTGGCCGCTCCCGGCCACCGCAGCATTGACCTGCTGGGCTCCGGTGATCCTTCCGCCTCAGCCTTCCAAGCAGCTGGAACTACAGGCACACGCTACCATGCCTGGATAATTTTTTATTTTATTGTAGAGATGAGGTCTTGTCAAGTTGCCCAGGCGGATCTCGAACCCGTGGGCTCAGGCAATCCATTCACCTCAGCCTCCCACGGTGTGGGATTACAGGCTGAGCCACTGAACCTGGTTACAAATTTTAAATTTACTTGTTTTCCTCAGAGTCATTGGATCATAACAAATTTTATATAAATTCAAAGTTTGTACACATTTTTAAAAGGTTGTTTCAGTCAGGAACCCTAGACCCAAGCACATAAACTATACAACCCAACTGGGCTGGGCTTGCACCCTGGTCTTACCAGTATCTGGTAATGCTATGTGTCTGTTTCCTCATCTCTAAAGTAGGAAAAATAAAAGTCCAAAGCAATGTCATAGGCATTAACTGCTACAACCATGAAGAGTTAATCATAGAGAATCGTTTTTAGTTATAGTAAGTGCTCAGCCAATATTTATCAAATGTTCACTGCATCAGAATCTCATCAGAAATAACCAAAGCAATATGATAATGACCCAGCTGACTTTAAGAAGTGGACATAATGAGAGTGGTTAAAAATAAAACAGAGTCATAAGCTCTCCACAAAGTTTGAATCTAAACTAAATGACACAGAAAGTTTGGGGGTGGGGTGGGGAGAGAAACAGACATATACAACCAAATGCAAAAACAAAGAAAGAAAAAGCAAGAACACGAACATTAAATGAGCTATTTAAATCACGAAGTTTGGCCAGGGTGGCGGCTCCAGCCTGTATTCTCAGCATTTCGGGAGGCTGAGGTCGGAGGATGGCTGGAGCCCAGGAATGTAAGAGCAGCCTGGGCAATACGGCAAGTTCTCCTCTCGACAAAAAAGAGAGGAAAGGTGGCACGGGCCCGTCGCCTCCTGCTCAAGGCGCGGAGGCCGGAGGGTCACCTGAGCCCCGGGGGTGGAGGCTGCGGTCAGTCGTGACGGTGCCGCTGCCCTCCAGCCTAGGTGAGGATGAGACTCTGACGCGAAGAAAGGTAATAGGGAGGAAAAAACACCTAAAGAAAACACAAAGAAAAACTGACAGGCAAGAGCGGAAGCTGGTGAAGATGGACCTGGCCCACAGCACCAAGGCCTGGTTCCCACGAGCAGCCCACCCTGGCCGGCCCGCTCCGGAAGACAACGGCCAGCCTCCGCTTCAGAAGAAAGGCCGGAGCTTCGGCGACATAAAGCGGACTTTGCAGGAGGCCGCGGAAACCTCTGCGGGTGGCTGACCCACGCTGGACCGCGGCCGCTTTCCGGAAGAGAAGCAAGGGGAGCGCAGGGGCCGCGTCCCGCCGGCCTCCT